AGTAAGAAAGTAGGCCAAATGTGGTAGCTTACCTAGCACTCAAGGAGTCTGAGGCAGGAGGATCACTTGAGGTCAGGAGTTCAAGAATAGCCTGAGCAAGAGCAAGACCCTATCTTAACTAAAAATGCAAAAAAATTAGCTTATGTGGTGGCTCGCACCTATAGTTCTGGCTGTTCAGGAGGCTGAGGCAGGAGAATCACTTGAGCTTAGGAGTTTGAGGTCACTGTGAGCTATGATGACACTGTTGTACTCTATCCAGGGCAGTAGAATGAGACTCTGCCTCAAACATAAATGGAAAGTAAGATAGACCCCCTTATTTGGCAAAGTTAGTTATGGTCTAGCAGTTTAGCACATGGTTTGGTACACAGAGTGGTAGAGTGAGATACACATTCTGTTCCTGGGCTTTCACTATATACAAGTGGGCCTGATTGTGTTATTAGAAATAATAAGAGTCAGGTGTTCCTTCCTCATTAGTGTCATCGGAGTAGGCTCCTTAATTACTAATTCTACCTCTTCTCCCGTGTACTTTTAAAGATTCAACAGATCCTATAGAAATGACTGCATCCTATAACTTACAAGACTCTAGTTCTGAGATCAGAAAATGAACTAGCAGTCAGGTTTCCACACTCATGGTATATGTATTCTTTCATTATGCCAAATTTTCTTCCAGCTCTTGTTCATACCTGCAGGCACAGCAGAGGAACATTTATTTCTGTGTTTTCTGGTCTGCTCTGATTGAGAGTTAATAACATAAGGCCCATATACATATATGTGTCACGGTTTCTCCCCAGAACCCTGTTACAGTTGTGAAGTGGCATGAGGTCATGTGGAATTGCCAGTGGGATAAAGGAGTTCCATGATGGGAGACTTCTGTTCTTTCTCTCTCTCTGTTTTCTCAGACAAAGTCTCAGGAGGTGGTCTTGAGTGATTCTTGAAATACGACCATTTGTATTATTTATATTGCACTGGAGATAAACCGTCTTTCAAGTACTTCAGAGAGGAACACTCTGTTAGGGCCCCAGCTGAGCTTTGTAATCCCAGTGGCAGTCGGAGGCAGGTGGCAGGGGCAGAGAATGTGGGAGGTAGAAGGTGAAACGCGTTTGCACTGGCTTTCGTGACTGCAGATATTTGAGGCTGTTTTAGTTTATTTTCTCCTATGTGTTTTTACAATATATATTGATCATACAAAAATATCAAAACCAATGAGTAACTTACGAATACAAGGTTATTTTAAAAGTATTTTTGCATGAATATATTATGTTGCCGATGAAAAAAGATGCATATTGGCATATTTGCATTTTTAAGTGAAAAATATCCCTTTTTTAATCTAGAGAAAAAAATTTAAGGCCTTATTAATAGCCTATAGAATTAAAGAGAATATTAGTCAATCATTGCATTAATGATGAAGTCTTTTTTTTAGGAGTTTGTTAACATCAGTCCGATTAGGAAGAGCTCATATAAATTATCTAAATAGACCCAGAGTTAGGGAAAGTAACTGACACCTATCTTAGATCTTGGGTGTTGTAAATAATTAGAGTCCATCTAACAGTCAAGGCCTTCCAGTCCAGTGCTCATTTTTTGAAAAGACTAACCATGGAAAGAGGAAGAATCTATGTCCAAAACATGGTAGACTCAATGATTTACATTGCTCAGATGGCATATTGCACATCCAGGTGTACTAGAGAGACAAGGGGGTTCAGACTGAGGCCCAAACTGAGTTTTGAGTTTTGAGGCCCAGACTTCCTAAGTCTGACAGTGGGCAAATAACCTCTTTGTTTGCTTAGTTTCAAAATGTAAATGATAAGAACCACTTTTGAGGAATAGTATAAATATTTGTGATCATGTATGTAAAGGGCTAATCATAGAACCTGGGATAGATCAGATAGTAAATTTAGCTACTATTAAATTTCTTGGCTAAATTGATAAACTAAAATAAAACCTGAAAATAGTATTTATCGGTAGGCCCTCAAAGAAATTGTGTTGAACCAAGGTCAAAGGAATAAGTGCTTGTATCTCATGAGCTGTAAAACAGAACTACTTCTTTATTTATTGGACAAGGCTTACCTCAACTTCTGAATTTGCATTGTGTTTTACTTAAACTCCTATTTTGGCAAATGCTAAAACCCCTTTAATTATGAATCCCATGTTTAAAGTTAAATTAGTATAACAGCTAGAACTAGAATCCATACATTAATAATTTATGAGAGACAGCAGGGAATGTGGAAAGGGAATGAATTTGTTGTCAGGAAAAGCGGAGTTTGAATGTGAGTGAGAACCGCCAGTTACTAGATGCATTGATCTTGAGCAAATTCCTTCATTTCTCAACCACAGTCCTTTGTCTGTAATGTAAAGACAGTCTCCTGCTTCTCAGACTTGTGAGGATTATTATATAAAGTTTCTCCTTTCCTCCAGGGCACTGTTAGCTATAATATTTATTTTCCTTCTTCCTGGTTCACCACCAAACCTATGTTAATAAAAAGTGGGAGATCTTAGAGGAGAAATTACTCTTCGAAAGGACAATTTATAGCCTTTCAAAGATTCTTTGAAGATGTACGGATCCATTCTGCTGTGAATATGCGGTATTCAAAAGTAGTAAAGACCTTCCTTTTACATGGAGCTAGGGCTCTGTCAGCACTTAGAAAGATGGCAGATATTTACTTGACTCCTCTTCACTGAAGCTCCGTGCATTGTATTAGTGCGGTAATTTGCCGTGATGTGATTTTTTTCCTATTGCATGCTTTTAATACCATCCTTAAACCATCATGATGTATGATATAAATGATAGAATAATCTAAAAGGCAAAGGATTTAGTGAAATATGTGCAGGATTCAGAATCCAACAATAAGAAGAGATGACACCCTCATCTCAGTGTTTACTACCTCTCAGCATTTCTTGTCCCCAAGTGTCTGTCATTCTGTGTTCCCACAAACCAGGTTGGGGAGCCAAAAATACCATTCAAAACAAAGGCCGTACTATTAACAAGTATGAGTTTAGTTAAAAGTAGGCTTTGGAAAACACCAGCATATTTCTAGGCTGCAATGTGACATACACATATGTAGTGTCTGTATCTCAGACCACTATATATCCTCCTCATACTCTGTACTGATCTTTTGTACCTAGAAGATGATGTCAGGTCTGGGCCACAGAGTGGTTTTTGAGATGCAAAGATATAAAACTTATTGTATGCTACTTGTCCTTAAAGACAGTGGGAGAAGTTAGGCAGATGTACGTATGTGAAATAACTATGACCAAATGGAATAATTCATGCACTGTTTTGGTGTAAATCAAAGGCTTTTGGAATTCAGAGACAAGAAAGATTATATCCACCAGAGGAAATCAGGAGAGGTTTCACGAAGGGACAGCATTTGGGCTAGGCACCAAACCAGGGGAAGGATTTGTCTATCCCGAGGTTTGCAGGTAACCTGGAAAACACTCCAGGTACAAACAAGAGCAAAGGTAGAGTTTGGAAAGCACCTTCATGGTCATGTTTCATTACGTAGGAAGCTCTGCGTGAACGTAAAATCGCAAACTCAGTCGACACTCAAAAACTTCAGTGAATAGATTTTTACGGGTTATCTTTGTTCTATGATCTGTAATCTCATGTTATTATATAAAAAGCCTTGAAATAAAATTGTAATATAATGATGAATTTTTTGATGTTTTCAATCCTAAAGATAAACAAGGAAACTCACTTGGCATTATGTAGGATCCGCCCATTGCTCTCCACTTGTGTGATAACTAAACGTGCCGTGATAAGACGATAAAAGCAAAATCTTGCCAAAGCCCGGGAAGAGATGATAGAGTATTTTAACATTTAAAAAGCTGGTATTTAGAAAGAGGTGTATACTTGTTCTATGTTTTTCCAAAAGCAAAATGAAAATCAGAGAGTGGTACAGCAAGTTTAAGCTGTTCAACCTGAGAATTTCTCGCAACCTAAAACTAACTGTCCATGGAATAGACTGCCCCATGAAAGCAGGTGACTTTTTCTTTATTGAAAGAACTCAGGGAGACATACTAGCCCTGTATCGAGAAGAATGACTACAGAATGAATTTCTAGATTTGATTAGAAGTGAGAATAGCTATCCTCTTAGGATCTCTCCAACTGTAACATCCTATGTCACATCCTATGTGCGCACACACACTGCCATCAGGGGCTTCAGGCGGCCGAAGCACACAGACTTGTGTGTCTAAGTCATCCATTCAGAAGTCAAGGGCAAAGCCAGACAGCAGCCTACTATTTATGTGTGATTCAGTCCAAATATTTTATTTTATGAAGTCAAGAAAGCAATATAATTTAAACTAATTTGTACAGCATTTGTGAGTTCTTTTGGAAGAAAAGGTGTCCTTTAAAAATATATATATAAATAATTTCAATTCAGAAATCTGAGGAAATTATTAAAATAACTTAGCTGTAGCTCAGCAGCTTGGGCGGTAGCCACATACTCCAGGGCTCGTGTGTTCGAACCCAGCCCGGGCCCACCAAACAACAATGACAACTACAGTAAAAAAATAGCCAGGCATTGTGGTGGGCACCTGTAGTCCCAGCTACTTGGGAGGCTGAGGCAAGAGAATCGCTTAAGCCCAAGAGTTGGAGGTTGCTGTGAACTATGACACACTACACTCACAAAGGGGGACATAGTGAGACTCTGTATCAAAATAAATAAATAAATAAACAAATAAAATAACTGAGCTGAGCCACCTTTACTAGTATCATGAGATAGTGGACTAGAATGCTAGAATTGATCTGATGCCTGACAGACTTTCTACTCTTATATAAATATTTGCCATATTGCAATGCCATATTACGTTTAATATTCATATATTCCTCGGTTACATATTACCCTACGTGATGTTTAAGTCCATGAATAGTGTAAGCATTCAGAGCTGATTTGTTTGGAAACTTAAGTCAAATAGTTGAATTTTCTTGATCAATGAAAGCCACGTATAAAAACAAAAATAATGTGCTTTGACTCTAACATCCCTCTTTTTGTTGTTTTTAGCTGCAGTATTGAAGTATGAGAACAACGTTATGAATATCAGGCAATTCAACTGTTCTCCTCATCCGTACTGGCTTCCAAATTTCATGGATGTTTTCACTTGGTCCCTGCCATTTGTTGGGGAAAAAGGTGTGTTGTTGAATCAAATGTTACAGGAAGGAAGGAGAGGGACATGTTTTGTACGTATTTTATCATGACTATGTTTGAGGTTGCTGTGAGCTGTGACATCACAGCACTCAGAAACACTTTGACTTCACCAATGAAATTCATGCTTTACACCGAGAGAGGTGATATGAAAGGGTGTCACTGTGTATCCTATTAATGGGTACAATGAGCAAATTAAGAACAAACAAAAGAAATGAATATGTAGAACAATTTATTTACACAGTCTCATTAGAATAATATAATGTTTTTAACAGAAATGCAACTTATCTGCTTTCAAGCAATAATGTCTACCTTTTCCTCTTCTATCTTTATCCTGTAATTCCAAAATACTATTTCATTTTACCAAACACCTGTCAAATTCGGTTAGGATAACCATGCTTTCCTTACATTTCTGATGTTAATGATAATCATCACAGTAGAGTGCTTAACGGCTGTGCTGTCTTGAAAGATAACATACACAACAACTAAGAAATCAGCGTATTAAGAATATAATAGGCATGATTTAATTTTTGTATATGGCAAGAGATAAGGGTCTAGTTTAATTCTTCTGTAAATGGATATCTCATTCTCACAGCACTCGCATATTACATTGTCTAGAGCAGTGAGGCAAATTTACATTTAAAAAGTTGTCTATTGGCTCAGTGCCCATAGCACAGTGGTTACCTGTGCCAGCCGCATACACTGAGGCAGGCGGGGTCGAACCCAGCCCGGGCCAGCTAAGCAACAATGATGACTGCAACAGAAAAATAGCCCAGCATTGTGCTGGACGCCTGTGGTCCCAGCTTCTTGGGAGGCTGAGGCAAGAGAATCGCTTAAGCCCAAGAGTTTGAGGTTGCTGTAAGCTGTGATGGCATGGCACTCTACCAAGGGTGACATGGTGAGACTCCATCTCAAAGATAAATAAATAAATAAAAAGTTGTCTATTAACTTGCCCCAATTTTTTAGAACTAAAATTTTCTTTCCTCCCTTTCACTCCTTTTTCTTCTGCCCCTCCCCTCCGTCTGTCCCTCCTCCTTCTTGTCTGTCTTTCTTCATTCCTTCCCTCCTTTTAATTTGTTTTCATGTTTTGACCTAAATCTCAATGAAAATGTCGAGGGCGGGCCTGCCCCCTCTTTTAGCTCAGGAGGCCTGACAGTGACAGACTGCATCACTCCTTACGCATCTCCTCACACGTGCGCGTGAAGGAGAATGAGCATTGTAATAAAAAGAAGTGTTTCCACGTATGTCAGAAAAATCATGTCCTGTGGAGATTTTCAGGGCAAAGCTACATATTTTTCTGAAACCCTGCAATATTTTTTTTTCTTTACATGCCCTAAAATGATTAAAGAGTCAAGTTATGAATTGTCAGTGAAGAAGTCTTCCCTTTTGATACTAAAATAAGTCAGAAGGCAATTTGAATCTCTGCTAATGGTCCCAGGGCTCCTGGACGCTGCTACTTTCCTGCACTGATCATGTCACAGCACCTGGTAGCGTCATCGCTTGGCTTCTCTGGAGACTGAAGCAATATGCATCCTGACAAGCTCTGGGCACCCTCTGAACGCTTTTTAGTTGGATTGCTTCTATTATGCAAATTTTGGATACTTATTAGAAATAAGTACAGTAACATATTGGTATATATAAAACAATTTTGATAAACTGAAATTCTGGATCAGTGTTGGCTCTACTGAAGTTTTATCTTTCTCATATATTTAATTCTGAAAGAACATTTTAAAAAATACCACATTACTTTAGAAAGGAGACATTGAAGAAGCAGTAGGTAAGCTTCTCTTAACATACATGATAAAACCCAACCTAATTTTTTTAAATGTTAAAAGCAAATACCATATACTGTAATGCACTGTAAAGTAATGCACTACTGATTTCCTCTGTACACCTTTTTTTTTTTTTTTTTTGCAGTTTTTGGCCAGGGCTGGGTTTAAACCCGCCACCTCTAGCTTATGGGACCAGCGCCCTACTCTTTTGAGCCACAGGTGCCACCCAACACCATTTTTATATAATACAGCTATAGCCTATTTACTTAACTAAACTTCTGATTAAAGTGTACCTAAGCTTTATTTTTAAAGCATTTTGAAAATCAAATGTAGTGATATTTCTATCAACACATTTTTTTAAATTCATATATGCAAAAAACTTAAAATATATTGGGTTATCAATCAGCAGTTTTTATTGAACACATAACCACATGCCTATCACAGTGCTGGGTTCTCTGGGGGATTGAAAAATAAACCCACCATTCTTAGTCCCTATGGAACAGAATTTTGTAATCTGATCTAGACCAAGCAGCATGAATGTGCAAAGAAATAAAAATTCAAAACAGCCATTTCTCTGTCATACATTTGCAGTGTATTCACCTCTAGTTATTTGACCTGTTTATTGTTTGTTGGCTGGTGGCTAGTAAATGTTACTAGTAGATTTCAGAGGCATTAGCTAATTGTTTTATAAAGTCTGCATAGAATCACAAAGAAGCGTGTTGTCTTTTATGATCTAGATTTCATAGAAACTACTTTGTTGGAGACTATATAAAAACTAAGTAAGAAAGGTTGTTGCTAAACTTGTATTTTACATAATGCCAGAATAATAATTATTTCTATAGGAGAAAAACTCGGTTTCTCTTTTTCTCTGTCTTTGCTTTTTCCGTTTAGTGACTGAGATGCTGGTAAATGTCCTCAACATCTGCTCGGATGATGAACTAGGGTCAGAAGAAGATGGATTTGATGGTAAGAGGCTTGAGCCTTTGTGCTAATGCTATCTGCCAGGTAATTACTTGGCATATCATTGCTAACCCTAAGGATAAATTTCTAAGATTTGGATTATGTTTCAATCATAACATACTGCTGAGAATGAAAGATATCATTTAATTTTCTATAAAAACCATAAGAGAATTTTTCCATTATTTTGAAAACATGGTTAAAGTAGTAAACAGGTTTAATAACTATCTTCAGTAACTCACGTGGCTATGTGACATATTTTGCCTACTTGCTAAAAATGTCACATTTTATTTTCTAGCAATTGTTGCCATTGGGCAACTTTTAAAAGTGTTTTTTAATGGCCATCATCCTATTATTCAAATCTTAATGTCTATAATAAGAGAAGGCATTTACATATTGATATATTGGTATTTATGTCAATCTCAATATTTCTTTTCTTATCTGTAGTAAGAGGTAATGAATGAGCTATGAGGGTCTTGTTTTTTTAAAATACAATTTGGGATCCAACTATCCTTAGAGATTATGCTTTTTCTGCAAGAGGCATAGATATATAGGTTAACGATGGAGGGAAAAATTACTCTGGGACCTACAAAAGCACCCCAGAATGAATGGAAATATACAAAAATGTACTGAGAGAAGGAAAGTGTGAGAGCAAACTTTATTTTTATAAACATTGAATAG